CCGGGCTTTGGTAAGTTTCTACCTCCAACTCCTTCGATCGAGCCTCAAGTAGCTGATGCCATGTAGGAAAATCAAACGTTGAGAAGTACAGTCCTCAGAGCGCCTCTCTCGGTAAGTTTGCCGTGCAACACGAAGCGGCTTGGTGCACACCTCGCAGTATCATCAATTCCTGATTCTCGTACCGAGACACATTTCCCCGGAATCCCCGATGCCCTTGGGATCTGGAGTCCGTCCCATCACATACTAACAAGTGCGCTTCAAGATCCTCAGCCAGACCCAACGGCGCCAGAGACTCTTGGGGAACCACGATTTTCACCTCGCCCTGGCATCCCCCCTCCCAGTCCTCCTCCAATCCCGCCCACTGACAAGTCCAAATCCTACAACAAGTTCAAGGAGGCAAGGGAGGAGCTCAAAAAGAAGAAGAAACTGGATAAGCGGGAAAGGGAGGCGGTCAAAAAGAAGAAGCAAATGGATAAGAAGGAGGAACACGCCGCTAAAAGGGCAAAGTGGGCCAAGGAGAAGGAAGAGCACCATAAGGCGAAATATCAGGAGCTCAAGGCCAAATTGAAGAAACACAGGGAGAAGGAGAGGAAGAAGGGCAAAAGAGTCGAGTCCCCTCCCCCTGACCTGCCTGCTGGCGCCGAAGGATCGGCCATGGTGCATACGAACGCCCGACAACACGGCCTCGACGGTAACAGAGACTCGCCCAAGGGGCTATCTGGGTGTGGCCGACCTGTCCTCAGTCCGAATACCCGAACCCGTATTGGTTCGGGGCCCCTTGGTCCCCCATCGCCCACGCGTTCCTTCGGGGAGCCACGATCTCTGGTGGCGCCTTCAAATTCGCCTCCATGGGCCCAGCGCCTGGGCTTTGACGACCCTGTGACGTATAGAAGCTCTTCGCCCGCAGCCACTCCACCGGAGGGAAGTTCTAGGAGCGAGTAAGAGACCTGATGCCCGACCTCATATTCGCAGGGACTGACTGATTTTTGGTCTAGTCGGGCCCCGTCACGCGCCTTTACAGCTCCTCCGGGCCGCTACACGCACACGCCTCACATCTGCTTCCCCGTGCACATGTGTCATTGCATGTGCTACTCGGAAGCATTCTGTCCATTTCCCCTTCCGTCGCAGCGATCCGCGTCCACTCGACTCTTCGAATCTGGCTCCCCTCCGATGGGCATGGCCAAGTCGTCTCGGTCTCGGTCAATCAGCTTGCCAGGTCAACGTCCGCGACCACGCATTGCATACCTCGAGGATTGCTTCGATGAGGATAGCTCCGATGAGGATTGCTCAGATTAATTGAGTTTTCGAACTCATGATTCCAGTGCAAGACAGTCCTGCTCAAATGGTCACATGAACCGTCAAAGACCGGGAGTCTCGGAAGGTTGTGAAGGTGTTCGGCAAGGTACGGTACGGTCGACTGGTTTTGCTTTTGGTTGGCGATTCGCTTTAGTCAACCCACCTGAGGATTCCTACCAAATTGCCAGTTAGGAGGAAGGATCCCAAGGAACACCGCTTAGTAGTCTGGGGACTGTTTCACTGAGTCTATCGCGGCCGGGAATTCTGGGGAAGAGTTATCAACAAGGTAGACTTTTCGCATTGATTGACCTGTATCTTTAGCTCCGCAACTCCCGTGCGCAATGCTACATCTCTCTATCCGGCTGTGATGCAACCTCGTGGTGAACTTTTTGGTACGCTGCTTCTTGCCAATAGCTTTACCATCCATCTCTATGTACAGGGCTGTGCAAATGCTCTACCCCAGCCAAGGATAACCCTCACGTTTGATTATTTCTCCCGTCTGGGGATCCGTCGATACCGGTCGCGAGATAGTAATACGTGCTCTCCGATGCTGAGCATGAGAGATCTCCAGCTAAGATATCGTTGTTCTCGTCCCATTCCTCACATAAAGGCTCGGGGGTCGTGAGCAGCGCTGTCCGCTCCGATGCGATCCACCTCCAACGGTCGATTTCCCCTTCAGTACCTTGTCTGCGCATCTGAATTGCGCCGAGCCTACTCGAGCGCGCCGGCCAGCGCGACGCACGAGAAGCGCATGTCGCCGCCGCCGCGCTCGAGGAACTTGAGGGGGCCCCAGAGCAGGGCCTTGTCGCTGAGGACGTCCTCGCCGTCCTCGAGCTTGCCGCGGGCGATGGGGCCCTTGCGGCGGCCGTCCAGCTCCCAGAGCGTGTTGTCTTCGGTCTTGACGACTGTTTGTTGTCAACGGCTGAGAGGGTAAGTAGATGGGAGGGGGAGGGGGACACGCACAGCACACGTAGTGCAGGTCCACGTCGTCCTGCGCGTCCGGCGCCGCCGTCTGGCCCTGGGTCGCCGCCTCGTGGTGCGCGCTCGCCAGCGCCGGCGTCTTCTCCAGCAGGTCGGAGCGCTCGCGCGGCGCCAAGGGAATCGCCGTCTTGATCAGCTTGTCCAGGTCGGAGTCGGGTTCTGTTGGCGGTAATGCGGGTGCCACGTCAGCTGCGTATCCCTGCCGAGGAGGGGATGGGGGTGGGTTCGTTACGAACGACGAGATAGAGAGAGATAGAGAGAATCAGGAGAAGGCGGGAGGGTTAAAACGCACCGACGAAGCCGCGCGCGGGCCCGTTGGCGACGGCGTGCAGCAGGCCCATGAGGCCGCAGGCGTTGCGGATGGTCTGCTTCCACCAGACGACGGGCTCGGCGTCGCCCTTGCCGGCGTACTCGTCCGCGCCGGCGTCCTCGGCCAGGCGCGCGCTCTCGTACGCGGCGCTGACGGGGAAGACCAGCAGCAGGGCCAGCGCCGGGCGCGGGACGAACGCCAGCAGCTCCGGCTCCGTGATCGAGTACACGTCGTGCACCTGCAGCGCGCGCGACAGCCCCAGCCGCCGCAGCAGCGACGTCATCAGCTCCGGGTTCGCCTCCAGCGGCACGAACGCCGGCGCGCTGCCCGGCTTCGGGTCCGGGTTCGTGTTGTCCGACATCTCTCGGCAGTGGGTGGGTGAGCGAGGAGAGGAGGGGCGGCGCGGGGGCGAGCGGAGAAGGATCGTGGCAATTCGCGGTAGGCGCTTTATTAGAGTGTGTCGACGAGGTACAGTGGTCTGCAGAAGTCGGGAGGCAGGGTCGTGGAATTGTGAGGTTCGCTGAGCTGGAATGGTGTCTGGTGGATTGCCCCGCCACAAGAGCTCGGTGTGTTCCAGGAGGCAGCAGAGCGCGGGCAGCAGCGATGACGCCACAGACATGTGGGAGCTCGTGTGGGTCCGGGGACAGCTGCATGCAGCCCGCCCACTGGAGAAATGTGGGGATATCTGGAATAGGGGGCGGCGTTCAGCGTGATGGCCAGTGCTGGCTTCAACATCACGGGTTTGCCTTCAACATCATGAATGTCAGCAACCTGGAACCTTCTTCCAGTGTATTGGTATGAGCTTTGTCACCAGACACTGCCAAGCTGCTCAGAGTCTGTAAGCATCCTCTCGAGGGTACGTCGCCCCAGACAGGGGGGCTATGGTGAGCTTGAGCTCACTCTTTCTTCATTTATACATCAAAAGAAAAAAAAGCAAGAGAGTACTGGGCAACAGCCCCTTTCTTCTGGCCTTGGGCCCACTAACCGTCGATCTCCATGGCGTCGCCGCCATGGGCCTGCTCCTCTTCCTTCTCCTCAACCTCCTCCTCATCCTCCTCGAGGCCTCCGGAGAGGTCAAAAAAAGCAAGATCCGTGAGAATCCACGACTTGTCGTCGGCGTCACCGTCGTTGGTCGGGGCATCACCAACTGCCTTGCGGAAGTTGGCGATTTCTACGACCAGAGGGTCGTATCTGGTATAGTCGAAACCAGGGAAGGTTGGGTGCTGGGCCCAGGTGTGGCGGGCCTGAACTATATCATCTTGAGTTAGCGATATCTTCGAATGCAACGAATGTTCAATGCGCCGCATATCAATATATTGCTTAACAAAAGACAGACGGTAGACTATACAGTCAAAACTGCCATGTATCGATCAATGGTCACTTGATCCTGATTTATCTATAAGATAATCATCGACGATTTTGATTGTACTAAAGATCCGTAGGTTATAGTATAATCTCGTAAGTGATGATTGTCCCAAGAAATGGTGAATGGTAGGACAATCTTGCAGGAGACAATTATCCCAAGGGCGAGTAGGTCGCAGGATAATCACATAGAAAATGATTATCCTTTTCGCCTAGACATGGGCGAATCAAGCGTCAGGGGGGAGGCGTTGAAAATATGTTGCTTACCCAGCCGAGCGAAGAGCTCCAGAAAGATACCGCCCGGGAGAGCCCGAGCCCAAGCCAGCTGGCTTTGAACCAGCGGCAGCAAGTCCCAGAGGTCCTTGCCCTCGGCGCGCCCCTGGAGCAGGACGGGACCGGCGGCGCGGAACAGGGGGACCAAGGCGGCCTATCATACGTTTAGTATCGTCTTATCTTTTCAGGCGGGAAAACACGCAGGATAAAAGACGGGCATGGCTTACGGAAAGGTCTTGCTTGGTCAGCTGGTAACCACCAGCTCGGAGGGCGTCGGCGACGAGCTTGTCGCGACGGCCCTTGCACAGGACCTTGTCTGGTCCAAGATACACCACTATTGTCATATCAGACACCCAAAACCCCGCATCCAATGGACTCACGCAATGCGGATTCCACTTACTGCCGGCGCGGGGCACAATGTTGGCCAGAAGCTTGGGACGGAAGGCGAGGGCACCAAAATCCAGAGACATGGTGATGGTGGCGCAGCGGGAGGCGATGGGTGTGGCTTGTTGGATGGAAACAATTGTGGCTGGATGCTTCGAATACTATCGTCCTAACTCATCTACTCGGCCTAAAGAAAAGAGAAAAAGAAGAGACGGAAGCTGGGCAAAGGCGCAGTAGTTCTGAGAGAGTGCCATCACCCGCTGCTGTGAGGCGGGTGGTCTGTGCACGCAATAGGGGGGCAACAAGTGGCCCATGCACCTGAATGGGGGCTCACCACCGCCTATTTGGCACGGGCACCTTGGGTACTTAAGACAAAATAAAAGCCTGCATCGGTAACCCAGTAGCTCAGTTGGTAAGAGGCCTGACATCTCCCAAGGTTGTCAGTGTCTCAGCAGACCTAGGTTCGATTCCTAGGGGGGTTCAATTCTGCATTATCGAGGGCATTCGACTTGTAATAATCTGCCGGAGTTATCCAGTTCCATCTGGACCCAGTACCGCTTACTATCTACAAGTTATCTGAGGGATCCTGAGCTACATTTTTTGACACTTTTGACATTTCTTTTTGAACGTCGCGCTTGACTGTTCCCGCTGCAGCCATCGCGACATACAGCTTCAGCCTTTTTTTTTTTTCTCTTTTTACCTGGAGTATTCCCACCGAAGCAAAATGGCAAAGCGGTAGTTTACATCTTCAACCTTGCTACATTCCTATGCCCCCAATTGGATCGCGACGCGCATGATGGAGCAGCTGGTGAGACTCCACACGGAAGTACGACACCCTCCTATCCCTCCTCATAGATGCTTGGATCGCTGAACTTCCTCTTGGAAGTGCCACGTGCTGGTTAGGAGCGCTGGTACACTGCCATAATAGGTGAAAGGGGAAGCATGGTCCGATAACCTGGGCAGTTTGCGGCCGCCGTTGAAGACGGGTGGATCAACAGCCATTGAATAGCTGCCATTGAATGCTGCGCAACCGCTGTCAAGCAGGCATTCAGGCCGTGAGCCTTAAGCGAGCCTGGAAAGTTTAGATCCATTCTTAATCAGCACCGCCGTAATGCTCCCGATCGTCGATCTCGTTTCTTTTTCAATTCTCGTGTCGCACCGTGAGTCACTCAATTACGACAACGCTCTCTCGCACGATGAACGACGATCCCAGTACATGGCACCCACGTTCGACAACCTCGCTTTGCGCCCCTAGCGCTCAGGCTCCAATCCTTCCCGCCCGAACAACAATGAATTTCGCGTCAAGAAGCATCGGCATGTTCATAAATAAGTCTCAAGCTACTCGTAAGTAGAGCATCGTTATGAGCGTGCGGTCGACTAAAACGGCAACTTCCAGGGTCTAGTCACATAGACAAGGGGAGTAGCAACCTACCACTCCGCGTGCGCACCGAAGACGAGAAACAACGACGGGCGGAGAATGAGCGGAAGTGTATGGCCGAATCTTCCATCTCTCTTCCCCCTGGCCAAGTCAAGAAGCCCAAGGCGTCAGAAGATGGGGGCGCGGTCAAGGGCAAGAGCAGCGATGCAGACGGCAAAGGCGAATGGGAAGTCCTCGTCGATGGCGATATCATGTTGGAAGAGGCGTTGGCCATGGCCAACGGAGAGATGTGGCCCGGAGAATTATTCGAGCACACGATCACGTGGGGAATGGCCTGGACTTGGGCCGAGGAGGCAGGAATTGACATCTCTGAGTACTTCGACGAGGACGGGAAGATGGATCCAGAGATAGGGTACCAAAGAAAAGTATTCTGAGGCTTCAGGTTGCCTCACCAAGAATTACCTACCTAGGCATCATTCGACCCCGTACCAATCAGTCCCCTCTTGGCCGCGATGCCAGTGTTTACTTCGCACGCTCGAACCCGCGCGTCGCCAAGATACGCGGTTGTTCAATTTACCTCGGTAGGGCTGATCTGCCACGTGGGGAATATCCCCACCACCCGGATACGGGGTAAATGGGGGCGATCGGATCGGCCGAGCTTGCTGCGTGCCAGTCGGCCACACCCAAGAAGCTGGATGTCTCCCAATGGTAGCTTGATTGTCTACCATGTTGTTCGCAAAGTGGAGTGTTGATGATCCTGGGTGGTTTCTATCGGCACCAAATTAACCCTGCAACAGTGAAAATGGCAGTGACGGCCTCAAAACAATCCAGGAAACCGCCTCTCACCCAAGATTGTAGCGCGCTCTCAACGGCGCTCATATCATTGATGAGCAAACGCCGCCGTTCGAGGAATTATGAGGCAATACACTATAATATATATATATCTTAGACATCTATGGTGTCGCTAGTCTTTGGAACACACCTTGCCAGTCTATTATGGCCATGTGCCATGGTATTTTGACGCACGGCTTGCACCATGCGAGCTTTCCACTCATTAAGACGCGCCTCGCGTGACAAGGCCACACCTATCCAACCGGAGAGAGTATCTCGGGTCACGACATCACAACGCCATCCAACACCAAGGACCGGAACGCCAGGCAATGCCTAAGTTCGAACATGGGGCACGGAAGCGGCTCAGTGCTTCTGTGCTTTCTCGAGCAAGGTCCTCTGTCTCGTATCCTCCAGCTCTTTGCGAATGTATTCGTTAAATTCGTCGGGGTTGTCCAGGTAGAGATGGTGTCCGGCTTTCTTGACCACGAGCACTTTGCAGGACCCGTTTTCTTGCCGCTTTTCCTCTTCGGAAGCGTGCTGCAGCGCTCTCAGCTTCGCTCCCTTCAACTTCTCCTCGGAAGCAAGGCCACCAGCAACGTCCATCCAGTCGTTTTCTCCGTACATGAAAACGATTGGGAAGCCCGTTTCCTTGACTTCCGGTGTGGATTCCGTCGCCTTCTGGACAGTCTGTCTACCAACATCCTGGATTCTGTTGATAATCGGCCTGCGGGCGTGCGCACCAGGAGCCAGTAGATAAGGTAGCACATATTCGCCACTTCCCCTTTGTCTGAAAAGTGAGTATGCGTAATCATGCAAGGTCTGTTTCTCGTTCTCTGGAAGATGGTTGAATCGGCGCGACGTCCAGCCAGACACAAATCGGGGTCCGAGAGGACCGGTAAGCCGGATGATACTGAACGGTGAGACATTGGCATCCCACAGCCAGACAAGCCAGCTTGGGTAGGGTCTTTTCTTCGGGGTTGCGGCTCCGTTCTGTTCGGAAATCCGGCTCTTCGCGTCTGACAGTCGGCTTGTGTCCTGAGGCTTCGTCGTCGCCTGTTGATCTACCGTGAATTCGTCCTGGAAAGTCGACTCCTGCGGTTCGGGCATGTCTGCGTTGACAGCATAGGGGTCCTCTGGCACCCCAACCGGAGAAGCAAGGATCATCTTGTTGATATGACCGGGGTACTTCAGCGCATAGGAAACGGCTAGGTAACCGCCCAGCGAGTGACCCAAGATGGTGAACTTGTCGATCTTGCGAATCTTCCTCCACTCTTCCAACGAGTCAATAAACCAGTTTTCCGCTTCTGTGATCTTCTCCTTGGGGTCTTTCGCATTCACTCTGAACGGTGGGCGCCTCGAATTGCCCATGCCTAGCCAGTCCAGCGCATATAACTTCCAGCCCTTCGCTCGGCTGAGACTCTCGAAGTTCTTGTAGTAGAAACCCAGTCCTGCGCCGTACCCGTGAAGCATGACTAGCGTATCGTCGACCGCTTCGCCGACGCGCTCTACCGAGAACTCGTTGAGCCCACGGTTCTTGCCCGAGAGCTCAACCATAGTTGACTTCCATACTCTTGGGCCATAGGGATCGTTGTTCTTCGTGGTCTGGGTCTGTCCAGGGTGTTCGGCCGAGGGTACATTGGTCAGGGGATTTACGTTCGAGTTCGTCTCTGCCGCGACAGCTTCTCGAAGATGCGGTATACAGGATATCACATTCCGCTCGGCGACTGTGGGGGTGACGGAGGACCACTAGACTCGGATTAGCAGAGCGACAAGCGCATACAGTCGGTGAAGAACATACCCATTGGTAGGCGGCCTCCTTGTAGCCCAGGGGGAAGAAGCCCATTCCTGGGGGTTTGGGAGGGGTCCTGCCTACGGGGGGCCCGGGCTTGGTCTTCTGAGACCGTTCCTCCGAGTGCTCAGCGGTGTCCGCAGGCACGCCGAGGGGTGAGTGTGCAGCTTCTTGGGTAGACATGTTAGTCCTAGACGAGGAGTGCACAAAATTTGCGTCCAACTGGTGGATTCGGGCGACGGCAGATACGAGTTTTCTCGACGGGATGACGGTTGGTGTTGGACTTTTGAGCATACCGGATCGAAGGGGTGGCGAGGTCGACCGCACCTCGCCCGTCCTTATATACCTATGTCGATAGGAGGGCCAGCCAGGCACAGCCACGGGTCGAATAGAGAGAGAGAGAGAGAGAGAGAGCGTGTGTGTGTGTGTGTGTGACAGTGAGACTTGGACCTGGTGATCCGGAAATGTACAGCGCTGACGAGTCGATTTCCGCGCAAAGTCCGCGAGACCGGATAGCTAGGAGTAAGTACAGTAGCCGCAGACGGTGCTGCGCCCCTGCTGGGATCTGGATCTGTTCTGGGCTGGGTGAGTAACAAGGCGTAGCTACGTACAGCGTAACCAAGTTCGGATTGGCTGGTCTGACGGTTGACTTGCGTCGGACTGATGAATCGCATTGGCAAAGCTGATGCGCGGGTTCGGCCGGTCGAGGACCTCGGGCGGTTACCTGGCAAGTTACATACCTTACCTTAGCCATCCAAAATCCAAGGTTACGCGGTTACGTAGAGCTGAACAGCGGACAGCCAGCAGGGGCGCGGGATGCGGGGCACCCATGCCTTACTTCTGTATGTACACCCGACTCCGGCTCCACCCTGGAGACCGTCCTCCATTCCACGGGATGCCTATCTCTCCGAGCCGAACGGATATCCATGTTTTAATCCCATGGTAGCATGGTACCTTGGCTCCCTCCAACAAACGCTGTCGGCACAAAAGATACCTTATGACTCTAGGACGGCGCACTCTCATCGTGGCATATTCATGCCGTAGGCAGATAAGGTAGCTATAATATTGCGGAAAGTATTGTAGCTGTCATGAGTTCGTCAGGCGCATACCGATCCAACTGCTTGGGTAAAGTAAACCCCAATGCTGATGCAGGGGCTTCGGGATTATCAGACTATAAGTTGCATTAAATCCGGTCTTGATCTGAGGTAAAGCCGTCGGACACATTTTCAACCCAGACTCCGAAACCCCCTGTCAATCTCATCAAAAGGCGCCGCAGCCCAAAGAATCTCTGATACCCTGTATTAATCACCTCCATCTTTTCTTGCACCGATATGATATGTCTGAGGGAGAGGAAGTCGATTGCCACACCGGGATCTGTCGATATCGGGTAGTACTCTTCCAGTGTGTGCTCAGACCATTGACAGTTCGCGCCTCCTTGCTGTGTCTCGATACGCTGGTGTTCAGAAACGCCGAAAAGATAGTTG